ATTTCTAACAGTAATAGTGTTTGTCATTCATATCTGGATTTGACTGTTGTGTACCAAAATGTTTTGTTTAAATTGTGCTCTAAGCATTTGTGGATTTTGGCTTTACTACTTTTTATTTTTGAAAATTACTTTTTTAATAAAGTGTTGTTGAGAACTCATAAGCAGTGCTCACTGTATCCACATTCTTAGACAAAAATATAGTTAAAAAAAAATGTGATCAAATGAATTTAGAAATAAATTAAGAAACTCTCAGAGCACTGGCTTTGGATGTGTTTTTCTGATTCCCTGCTGTCCAACACAGAGTACTTAATAGAATTAAATTCAAATTACCTCTTCATTACATCCTGCCACTCACTAACTCTGTCCCTGAAGCCTCATAAAAAGTCGACATGAAAGCTATTCAGTGCTACTAAACCTGTCTATCATAGATTACTTTTTCATTTCATACAAAAACAAAGTTTAAATCAGTGGAACATATTTGTTTTACTCTTGCCTTTTACAGTAGACTAACACAATTTATGTTAAGAGAAATGACCAACCATGAAAAGTTATTTGCAGGCTTGAATTAGATTTCTAGCCTTACAATATTATACATGTATGCCAATCAACAAAGACTTAGTGTGTTGTCTGTGATTGTGAACAGCAGAGACTGAATCTTGGCACTGTAGAGAGGTGCAGAAGACCAGAATAAGGATGCATAGTCTAAGGCTGTGTGTGGTCTGGGTAATGAGTTGACAAGCAATTCTGCATGTCAGTCTTACTGCATAGAACAGAGCGTGGGATGACAACTTAATTCTTCATTTATTTATATACTTTATCTCCTAACACAAATCTTTCCTATATTTAAAAAAAAAAAAAATATGTGTCCCTTATGTTTTTCTAGCCTCTGTTGTAAATAGTTTTCTGTAATTTGTATAAATTGTTTTTGAAAAGCATTTGCATTTTTAAAAAATAAAGTGATTGAAATGCTTATTGGGATCACTGTTATTAAGCTTCTGTATTTTATATGCAAGGTATCAGTGATACTATGAACCTCAGACCTGATTCAAACTTGAATTTTACAACATGGAGGCTTCATATTTTGCATAATCTCATCAACCCATGGAAAAAAAGAACCAATCACAAAAGAGTAGGATGTACATGAGTTATAGTAACCTAATCACTTCATCTTACTTTGCTGCTCCATCAAGAAGACAGGTCAGAGTATTACTCTTCTCTATTAATTTGTTTCTGTTGCCTCTTTTGAGGTTGTTCTGTATTTTTTTTTTATATATTATTTATTGTGTTTCTACCTTATTCTTGGTTTCTGCCCTCTCCCCTCTTTGCTCTCACTTCTCTGGGGCTTGAGAGGCTTTTGGGTTTACATGTTTATATAAGGTGTTTAAAGTGATTTCACCAATAACCTTGGACTAAATATTAAAACATGGATTAGTGCTCTCTGTCACGACTGTAGCCTGCACTCAGTGGGTGAGCCCCCTTACTATATTTTTACTGCATTTTGCTACCAAATGGAGACATGCTGTTGCAGCCTTTGTTAACTGCTGGACAAGATTTCCAGGACATACTGCTTAAAGGACTATCTCCCATTCTCCCATAACCTTGAATTAACTGTTTGAGCAGAGACGAAGAGTTCTTACCCTGTGCACCTGGGGTGAGCCCACTAATATATATTTATACTACACTGTGCTCCTGAGTGGAGGCATGCTGTTGTAGCCTCTGTTTACTGGGTGAACCCCAGTCTATTATATTTGGCCACTGTTAAGATTATAACCCTGTATGGTTTCTGTGAGCATTGCCTGCTACTATTGTAGTCTGGTCTGTTTGCCCTGCTTCCTGCAATTGCCTCCTAATTTGTGCCTTCTATAAGGGTGTCCCATATCATGATAACACTACCTGTCTACTTTTTGGGTGAGGCTCAATTCTGTGTCACACAAGTTGCCACTATGGAAGATTTCCTGGCTAACCCTGTGAAATTTCAGGTCAAGCAGCGGTGGTGGCATTCGCAGAGAAAACACTCTTAAATGTGCTGACAGGAGGGCCAGTCCCCTCACCGGTACTGGCCACCAGACAAGCCCACTACGGGGCGGACTCTGATGCCTTGGATTTGATGACTACGACTGGGGTTCAGAATCCACATATGACTCCACATTCATACACAAGACAGATGGCTGAGGGTGACGGTACCTCGCATGCTACTGCCCAAGAAGACACAGAAGCGATCCTGAATCCTACTGGTCAATAGCTGTTTAACCCACACAACATCCATCCCCCAGATTTGGGAGACTGGTCCCCTCCTGAACACCTGGCCAACTTTATGCACCTGTGGTGCTGGATTCTGGTGGCCCCCTCTCCAGGATAAAATACCTGACGATACCAGCACCATCCGGGAATGGGCTCACGATATCCGTGAATGGGCACAGATGTTTTTGTTTCGTCAGAAACAACAATGTTTGCCTCTCCTCTGAGAAGCACATAGCAGCACTCCTCCGTATTGGCGGAAAGTTGGTGGGTCTGGGCGCCTAAACATTGGGACCCCGGGCACGAGGCACACTCTTTGAGGAGGCATTCCTGAGACAGCTTATTATGCATGTTAATGTTCTCACTTTCCTCATCAAGATTCAAACCTCCAGGAGGAAGGTGTCCTCATGGTGAGGTTTTCTTGGGCGAACCCCACCTACGACCAACTGGAATTTGTTCTGGAGTCGGATACCAGCCTGCGGGGCTGCGGAAACAACCCGCGAGAGTGTACCCATGGAAGGCGTGTGCACAACTCAGGAATTCTCCCTTCATATTGACTACCTGGAACTCTTAATGGGATCATTCACTATCCACAGCCTGGTGAAGGAGTAATTTGTTTGTTACATCCTACTCCGGATGGACAGATTGCCGGCATTTCGGTATATCAATCGCCGGGACAGAGCCTGCTCCTGTCTCTTATCAGACATCACAAAAGGCATCTTCGATTTCTGCCTCCCTTGCAGGATCCCCCTGAGGGCAGACTAACTCCCAGGGTTTGCCCCATCTCACCACAGAAGGATCACGAGACTTCAGCATTTTTCAATTGGCTGCCGGATCTGGAGTGCACGATGATGGAAGCATTCCATCAGGCTGGGCCTCCCCTAGGAATGTAAATTTTTCCCTCCTTCACAATGATTGCGAGAGTTCTCCATCACCTCTGTGGTCAACAAGTAACACTGACCTTGTTCATCCAGCTGTGATGGAGCCAACCTTGGTTCTCGGACCTTCGGATACTGTCCGGTGAGGATCTCCTCCTCCTGTCTTCATACCTGATGCTTCTTATGGACCCGAAGGAAAACCCATACGTCTTACTCCTGGAGGGTCGCCTGGACTCTTTCTGGGGTTCTTAGCAGATCGGCAGACTATAGCAGGATGCTAGGGACCTCTTATTGGACTTTTGGGCCCCAGGGACACGACAATGCTACCCCTCCATCTGGGCATTCATGGTCTGGTTGGTGTTTGGAATAGAACCTCGATCCATTAATGTGGTAAGTTCTGCCAGTTCAACGGCCTCTTGTGTGCCAGTTACTCAGTGACATGAGATGTGGAGATCATTCTCCGTATTCTACGGGACTGGGCATCTAATGACTTTCTCTCTGTCTGTTATCGGCCAAGTTTACGTTATGCTTGGTCTGGTGTCTTTCCATCATGTATCGGATATTCGGACGTTCAACGTGGATGTTTTCTCCTTTTCCCCCCGATGAGGTTACGGTCCATTTCTCTCATCGCACTATTCGGATTCTGACCTGGTTTTCCTATCTCAGCGTTAAAATTGCAAAATATAAAGCATCCTGCCATGTTGTACTAGCTTTAGTGTTCAAATAATCTTAATTTTAGTAATGACAGGAGGCGAGTATTTTCCACCCTGCTTTGCTGTCCCACCCTTTCTGTTTGCTTTCTTTATATGTCTCACTTGTCTAAGGACGGTTGGGCTCTTGATGTTTTGTGTTTACATTGATGATTTTATTTCCATTGGTTTGGAATTGTCATTGGATTTCACAGGGAATCAACACAGTTAAGGAGGAGACTATATTTAAAAGAAGAAAAACTACCACAACAAGAGGACATAGTCTTAAATTAGAGGGACAAAGGTTTAAAAATAATATCAGGAAGTATTACTTTACTGAGAGGGTTGTGGATGCATGGAATAGCCTTCCAGCTGAAGTGGTAGAGGTTAACACAGTAAAGGAGTTTAAGCATGCATGGGATAGGCATAAGGCTATCCTAACTATAAGATAAGGCTAGGGACTAATGAAAGTTTTTAGAAAATTGGGCAGACTAGATGGGCCGAATGGTTCTTATCTGCCGTCACATTCTATGTTTCTATGTTTCTATGATTTTTATATGATTGTTGTTCATTTATCAGATTTTAGATTACAAATTCCTACTATGAAATGATGTATACTGTGTGTTCCTTGGATTTCCACATTCATGACTATGTGTCTAAACCTGTCACTCATTCTCTTTTCAGTTTAAATCATCCCTGAAGTTGTTTCGGTTGTTCGTTTGAAATTCTCTGGAAGTTTGTTCCTTCGGATGTTGGATTTAGGAGTTATTGTTATTGCTTGTTATATGTTTGCTTCTGCTTGATGTCACTGTCTGAAAGATGAAGTGCTTAGGTCACTATACCTCATGTACATCCTACTCTCTTGTGATTGGTTCTTTTTTTCTATGAGTTTCTTTGCTACTGTGGAGCTAGTAAAGAGAGATTATGCAAAATACTCGCCTCCTGTTATTACTAAAATTAAGATTATTAATATACATTACTAAAATTAAGCTAGTATAATCTTCAATTGCAATTTAACATTGATAGTGTACTAACAGAAATGTTATAACTAGTTAAAGGACCACTCTAGGCACCCAGACCACTTCAGCTTAATGAAGTGGTCTGGGTACCAGGTCCAGCTAGGGTTAACCCATTTTTTTATAAACATAGCAGTTTCAGAGAATCTGCTATGTTTATAAATGGGTTAATCCAGCCTCCAAATCCTCTAGTGGCTGTCTCATTGACAGCCACTAGAGGCGCTTTGGTGCTTCTCACTGTGATTTTTACAGTGAGAGCACGCAAGCATCCATAGGAAAGCATTGTAAATGCTTTCCTATGCGACGGGCTGAATGCGCGCGCAGCTCTTGCCGCGCGTGCGCATTCAGCCCAGAAGGAGGAACGGAGGAGGAGAGAAGGAGGAGAGCTCTCCGCCCAGCGCTGGAAAAAGGTAAGTTTTTAACCCTTTCCCCCTTCCAGAGCCGGGCGGGAGGGGGACCCTGAGGGTGGGGGCACCCTCAGGGCACTATAGTGCCAGGAAAACGAGTATGTTTTCCTGGCACTACAGGGAGTGCAGAAATATTAGGCAAGTTGTATTTTTGAGGATTAATTTTATTATTGAACAACAACCATGTTCTCAATGAACCCAAAAAACTCATTAATATCAAAGCTGAATATTTTTGGAAGTAGTTTTTAGTTTGTTTTTAGTTATAGCTATATTAGGGGGATATCTGTGTGTGCAGGTGACTATTACTGTGCATAATTATTAGGCAACTTAACAAAAAACAAATATATACCCATTTCAATTATTTATTATTACCAGTGAAACCAATATAACATCTCAACATTCACAAATATACATTTCTGACATTCAAAAACAAAACAAAAACAAATCAGTGACCAATATAGCCACCTTTCTTTGCAAGGACACTCAAAAGCCTGCCATCCATGGATTCTGTCAGTGTTTTGAGCTGTTCACCATCAACATTGCGTGCAGCAGCAACCACAGCCTCCCAGACACTGTTCAGAGAGGTGTACTGTTTTCCCTCCTTGTAAATCTCACATTTGATGATGGACCACGGGTTCTCAATGGGGTTCAGATCAGGTGAACAAGGAGGCCATGTCATTAGATTTTCTTCTTTTATACCCTTTCTTGCCAGCCACGCTGTGGAGTACTTGGACGCGTGTGATGGAGCATTGTCCTGCATGAAAATCATGTTTTTCTTGAAGGATGCAGACTTCTTCCTGTACCACTGCTTGAAGAAGGTGTCTTCCAGGAACTGGCAGTAGGACTGGGAGTTGAGCTTGACTCCATCCTCAACCCGAAAAGGCCCCACAAGCTCATCTTTGATGATACCAGCCCAAACCAGTACTCCACCTCCACCTTGCTGGCGTCTGAGTCGGACTGGAGCTCTCTGCCCTTTACCAATCCAGCCACGGGCCCATCCATCTGGCCCATCAAGACTCACTCTCATTTCATCAGTCCATAAAACCTTAGAAAAATCAGTCTTGAGATATTTCTTGGCCCAGTCTTGACGTTTCAGCTTGTGTGTCTTGTTCAGTGGTGGTCGTCTTTCAGCCTTTCTTACCTTGGCCATGTCTCTGAGTATTGCACACCTTGTGCTTTTGGGCACTCAGTGATGTTGCAGCTCTGAAATATGGCCAAACTGGTGGCAAGTGGCATCGTGGCAGCTGCACGCTTGACTTTTCTCAGTTCATGGGCAGTTATTTTGCGCCTTGGTTTTTCCACACGCTTCTTGCGACCCTGTTGACTATTTTGAATGAAACGCTTGATTGTTCGATGATCACGCTTCAGAAGCTTTGCAATTTTAAGAGTGCTGCATCCCTCTGCAAGATATCTCACTATTTTTGACTTTTCTGAGCCTGTCAAGTCCTTCTTTTGACCCATTTTGCCAAAGGAAAGGAAGTTGCCTAATAATTATGCACACCTGATATAGGGTGTTGATGTCATTAGACCACACCCCTTCTCATTACAGAGATGCACATCACCTAATATGCTTAATTGGTAGTAGGCTTTCGAGCCTATACAGCTTGGAGTAAGACAACATGCATAAAGAGGATGATGTGGTCAAAATATTAATTTGCCTAATAATTCTGCACTCCCTGTATAGTGGTCCTTTAAGGTCCTGGTTGAGTTCCTCAAAGCAGTTCTGCATTCAAATTATCCCTGGTCCCACTGGATCTTCTTTTATAGCATCACTATCTTAGCCTACATCCTGACTAATGCGCATGCACAAATTACAGGGTCTGCACATGCCTGTGAAAGATCTCCAGCATGATGCATGGCTGGAGGGAGGTAAGTAACGAGCTTGACTGTCAGTGACAAAGTTAACAAAGAAAGTAGAGCTTGACTAAAGCTTCAACCTTTGTCAATTTTTGTCAACCTGCATGTTATACATAAGGAAACGTAGTCCCTATTTTCCTTTAACCCCTTAAGGACCAAACTTCCGGAATAAAAGGGAATCATGACATGTCACACATGTCACGTGTACTTAAGGGGTTAAAGAGACACTGCTGGCGCCAATACAAGTTTAATAAATTTTTGGCCTCATTATAATGCTGTATTTTTTGCATGCTCAAATTAGTGCAGAGTGGTGCACCATAAGCCTGCCTTCTTAGCAATGCCCCCTCACTCCAGAAAAGGACTTTCTTAGCAGATGTATGCACACAGCTCAGCCAATGACAGTACTGAATGATCTGAACTATAAAGCAACCTGCATTGGAAGGAGAGGATAGCTAGGGTGACAGGCTGATAGGCTATCACTGCCTTTTTGCAGTTTCTCTGACTGTCTGCAGCCAGGTTGTGAATTAAAATGAGATCACACAGTGCTGTAGGGGGTGAGACTGTATACATACATTTGATAAGGGAGAGAGGGTGTGGCTATGGAGGCACACTTATGGTGCAGCATTCTGCAAAACATTTATTTTTTTTGTACAACTATATGCTGATAAAGTGTTTTTAAGACCAAATTTGGGGGATGCTATGGCATGTAATTGGTCCTTAAAGAACACCATGACAACCAAAACAACTTCTAACTTATTGTTATCATGCCTGGAGGTCCCTTATCTTTAAGGGTTAAAACCGAAGTTGTCTAAATGCACCCGTCAGCTCTGCCTCTCTTTCCCTGCCTCAGCACTTGACTTTAATGAGGATCCTCTGACTGGGTGATTGGCTGAGAGCACCAATTGATGTTCTTAGCCTATCACTAGATTCCTATTCATTAAATTTGGACAAATGTTGAGTTCAACACCATAACAACTTAATTGAGATGTGTTCCTTTAAGGAATTAAATCTTGTAACTGATGGCACCAGCCAAATACCAAACTGTATGGAACATTATATAATATATTACTGCCATGTTAGAGACCATGGATGTGACAAATACTTAACTTTCTCTATAAAGTATCTTCTTTGAAATTTGTTTGCATTATCAGATTAAACAATCTTTAATTATGCCACTTATGAGTAGACTAAACAATGTATATGTTTTTTTCCTCTAGGCGGTTCAAATAAGAAAGGTACTTACAGAATAAATGTGTTACAAGGGTCTTTGTTGTGTTCAGCTAGTATGATGCAAGGCTGTATCTAACTATTTGTGATGGAGAATTGGCAGCGAAATTTCTCTGTCAAGCAGGCAGTCAGTATACCTATTAGAATAAACCCATGAGAACATCATTAGGCAGGGTGGGGTTGACCAGTGAATGGGTTTTGAATTCAGAGTAGAGCTGGCCAAAAAAAGTTTGCCATGTGAGAACATCCAACTGCTCCCAGGTCACCATAGCAATTCTTCCACGCCATTAAAAGAAAAAAAAAAAAAGGTAAGGCAATGTAAGGAAGGAGGGGGAAGGCTAAAGTGGAATTCGGAAACAGTGATGATTCTCAGGCTTTCCAAGGAGGCGAGGCTGGATGAAGTCAAATATTTTATGGAAAGAGGACTGTTAAGAGCGAGGAAAAGGGCATTTATAGAGAGGTAACACTGAATGGGCCATTCTTTTTCCACTCAAAATTAAAACTTATTGGAACACTTGATATTCTTCCAATAGGAGAGACAGCTAGTCTGCAACTAAGCATGTTGCAATAGGCCAATTGCTTGAACTGTTTAAGATATATCTAAATTACTGAGAGTTATTTAATGAATAGGGACATGCCAAAATAACTGAGCTGGAAAATTGACTTGGCTATTTTAATCAAAAATGCACATTTACCTTGTAAGTTATTCACACTGTTGGGTTTATTCATTAAACAGCAAATGGCAGTCAAATGAAAAACACATTGCAAAATTTAGGCTTAAATAACCAGTTTTAGAATTTTTAGAGTCAGCACTTTTTGCCTAAATCTTCAGGTATCAGTTTACCACAATATGCTGTTTAATGACTAATGATCCAACACGGGACTTTTGAGAGGCATGCAACTGCATGAGTAACTTGCACAGAAAGTATGTTTGTTTCTTCTCTCTCCTTAAATGAACGGATATTTTATGTTATGTGTTTTCACTTTCTTTGCTGAAATAAAAGGAACACTGGAAGCACTATACTCACTACTGTTATAGTGGTTATGAGGCCAGGAGTGCCCCCATGTAAGTAGTCAAACTGTTTGATAATGGTTTGACTTCTTAGCTTGGGTCCACCAGGCATCTATCACTGTCTGGTGGTGCAGTATCTTAGCTCCCTCTACAACTCCACTCTCTTTACTATCAATTACACATTGTGGCACCTCCTACATTTAAACACAGCAAGCGCCCCTTATTACAACCCTGGCACAACAAGCTGACCCGATACCTCCAAAAATGTTCCAGAACTGCTGAACGCTGCTGGAGAAAAAAGTCTCACTCTGCGTCTGACTTCATCCATTATAAATTTATGCTGCACTCCTATAGTCTAGCTCTTTCATACACTCCTAACCACACTCCCCTGCAAACCCAAACACCTATTTCATGCTTTTAACTCTCTTATTCGTCCTGTTGTTCCTCCTCCTCCTACCAACTTAACCGCCACAAACTTTGCAATTCTCGTCACTGAGAAGATTTCTACAATCAGGGAAGAGATCTCTAATCTCTCTCTATCCCTTACCAATTTTTCCCCCAACCCCACTCCCTCCGCTGTCCTATGCTCATTTGCACCCGCTACAGCAGAAAAGTTTTCTGATCTGCTCTGGTCCTCCTGCCCCACCACTTGTTCCCTTGATCCTATCCCCTTATATCTCATCCGCACTTTGTCTCCTTCTCTTGCTCTGCCTCTTCTTTGGTATATTTCCTCTACCCTTCAAACATGCAACCGTAACCCTGATTCTGAAAAAGCTCAACCTTGATCCTAATTCCCCATCCAACTACTGTCCTATCTCGCTACTGCCGTTTGCCTCCAAGATACTTGAGAACGTTGTGTATGCAAGGTTGACAGACTT